AAAATAAAATTGAAATCTATAATAAAAGAGTATGTAAGACAAAAAAGGGCAAAACTATTATTTTATTCTTAATTTACTTCTTTCTGGACATGAATGATTAAGAACACTAAAAGCTTCTATTATATTTAAGAACCTAAAGCAAATTTCTCAAGTGACAAGTTCCTGGCTACATTTATTGCCTCAATGAGATGTAAGTCGAATAAATTGAAATTTCCGTTAGTTTCAGATCAGTCGATGGTAATGCTACAGATATTAGTTGTGCTCTAGAACAGTGGTGGAAAAAAATGATTCTTCAATATTTCAATAATTAAAGCAGAATGATTTTTCAATATTTCAATAACTAAAGAATAATGAGCACAAATTAAAGTCAGTGACACTAAATCCTAAACGCCGATTTTTATTTAAATAATGATGATGTAAGCATACAGAACAACTAACACATTGCCGAATATAGTATTAATAAAAACTGGAGTTACCACAAAGTGCATCAAATGAGAAAACGTGATAGGTTAATGTTATCAGTATAGCATAATATGCATACCAATTCTGAATAAGCTGAACATTTATTTTATATTTATTAATGTTACGGTAAATTAATGAACCCCATTATGGAACAAAAAATATTTTATATTTGAAGAAACTATTTCATACAACCATAATATAATATATATAATAGACCTAATAACCTATAATAAATATACATAGTCTAATGGCTTTCGAGATATCTGCTCATAGTCATAGTACTCGTAATCACTCTCAGCAAAATGATGATGCAGAACATTTAGTATATTGTAGTTCAACATGAACTAAATTTAAAGTAATTCCGAATAAAACAGACATGAGATGGGAGTGGATATCGTTAAATCAATCACGCGCTCATTGTGATGTACATGCCAGTATGAACTTGATAACGACCATTATGATACTACAACAAACGATAATGTCTATAAATAAGATAACTGTTCCATACAAAGGTTTCCCCTACTTTGCCTTGCTTGTTATCTTATTACTAAGTAACGAACCAGTCGTCGAAGGCAATTAGAATTAAAATTCAAACTTACGAGCACCACGTGTTTCTGCGCGCAAATGTAGATCGAGATGTTTCTTCAACTGTAGTTGATTTTGGAGCTGTATCTTGTGGTAAATTAAGTTTAAAACCCGCTATTGACTTTCGTCTCTTTGCAGCTAGGGCGCGGGCGGCTAGGTCAGAACCTTGCACCTGTTCAGGTGGGGATGAGGTGTGGGTGCACGTCCTTATGTGCGCCTGCGCGGTCGCAACCTGAAGCAGCTTGCTAGACAGGCTACGCCGGCCTAGGGCTTCACAAGTTGCGCAACGTCCCTCCTCCATGAAGATCCTCGTGCGTCCGAGCCGGCCACGAAGCGGGCACTGAGCGATTATTATGACCAGCGGTCGGGGCAACTCTAACTGATGTCATCCGACGAGCGACAAACGCTCGTGCACTCGCCGGTCGTGCACGCAACGCGTAATAGTTAAGACTGTGTTTCGTCCGACCGTGGAATCGATCGATACCCGAACGAAATAGGCTTAACGTGATAATAGAAGCGCGATAAGGTAGAGGAAAGCGAATAAGTGTGTTGACCTAGAATAGTGAGACGCAGCACGGCTTAGGGGCGACACGGCTTCGGGGAGCAGCGTGCGGCCGTTCGCGGTCGGCTCGGCGCAAGAGACTGCCCTCGCCACTATTATGAACCCCCGTCGCGCCGGTCGTCATAATCAGAACAGAGACCAACATATTGGTGTTTGCGGTAAATACGACAACGTGCCGGAGTCTTGTGACTTGCGGTATACACTACTTATAAATTAGTAACAACACGTGAGTAAATATTCGCTCCTAGGTAGAGCGTCCTGAACTCCTGACATAATGCTGGATAATAATCCAGATGATTACACTGAGCAATTACTTGGTTTGACTCCGTTATACCTACTATAAACCATTGCATTGAGTCTCAACAATATCAACAATTACGACATCTGGATCAAATGAGTCAGCTAAACATTCGACTTATTTTTTATATTTTTAACATATTTTATATTTAGAATTATACCTACCTATCAAGACAACGATAAATGTGAAAACAACTACATTCATAGAATCTAGTAGACAACAGAATATAAATTTCATGAAGCAGATATGATTTTTAAGGAGATCCGATGCGTAGGCACATTGAATTATTAGATATAATTTACTATTGACGTCGTCGATTGAGTTCAACAAGGACTTTTATTTCGCGCTTGTTTTCGCAAGTAAGTTGTAGGCAAGGAATTTACTTCTACTGATTGATTCTTTATTTTTGGTCATATTCAAAAAGGAGGAAGTTCTCAATTCAACTTTATGTTCTTGTTTGTATGTATATTAAGCGACAGTAGCCTAATGGCAGGACGCGGATCGCGAACTCAAAAGGTCGTGGGTTCGAATCCGCCATTTGACTACTGTCGTGAACCACTCATAACACAAGCATTTCAAGCTTACCAGGAGTGGTTAAAAGGAATATTAGTAATGTTAATTAATAAGATAATTAAAAAAAAGAAAAAAGTTATACTTCGAGGATCGTTTCATGTGAATTAATAAAAATTATGGGATGAAATTGCCTAAATTGGGTCAAAAATGATACAAATAACTAAAACTTTTAAGTAAATAAGGTACAAGCTGACTTCAAAAAATGAAAATAATCTCCACATTGTAAGTTTCATCTACAGTTTGATAACGGTATAGGGAGTCTGTGAACCCACTTTATATTTCGTAAAAGACAATGTCGAGGATATAGGTATATATTCTTGTTTGTTAGTATTATTAAATGATGTTGTGTATCCTAATACGGATTACTTTAATTATTAATATGGTGCCTTAGGCTTTGATAGTAGGTGGTAACCACGCTGCTGATGTTTTATCGCTGTAAGTGCGAATGGGTCGGTCCGACCTATGCTGATATCGATGATGTTTCGATTTGTGAGTATAATGAACCGGATACACTTTTTACTTGTAACGACGAATTCAAATCAACAGTTTTTTTTTTTTGTATAAAACTGAACTGCGGAACTTCTAATTCAAATCCAAAACTTTATATTCAATCAGGCTTGTTTTAAGTTCTAATGTATCTCAAAAGTGAAGTCTGAAATCTGTATAGTGTCGTATTTTTTTCCAACTTGCAGTCCATTCGATGGTAAGTGGCTACTGCAGCGCTTGGACACCAGCAACCTACTTCAAGCAAGGAAGGCTACAGATGCGATGTCACGTCTGAGGACTAGGATGGAACGCCTCACAGTCTGTAATTATACCGTGTTACCCGTCAGAGCGGAACAATGCTCTGCAAGCCAGTGCTATTCGGCGGCAAATATAAGTAAATGGGTGGTAACCACCCAGACGCACCCCTAAACAAAAAAGGAGTTCTCCCACGTAGTACTAACAACGCATCTGTATTTAGTTCTTAATTGATGAATACTTTGGTAGATAGACACCATGGATCAGAGTATCCACTTACCATCAGGTGGACTGTCTACTCGTTCACCCATACTACCATACGTGGTACAGCCACGCTGCAGCTATATTATGGTTGTAGCAGAATGGGTCGGCTCGACCGGCGAAGTAGAATGCTCTCACAGAATACCAGCGTAAAATAGCAGCTTAATACTGCTGTGTTTCGTATGGTGAGTGTAGGAGAAACTTTTTTACTTGAAACATTATTATCTGGGGTAACAACAAAGCATCTGCGTTTAGATTCTCAATCGAGAATAAATGTAGATTCTATGGGCTACAGTAACCACTTAATATCAGGTGAACCATGTGCTCGTTTGTCACCCTTATCCTAAATTAAAAAAAAAAACTTTAATAATAAGACTTTCTTGACCTAACATTTTAGGAGATTACGCTTGTTTTTCCACATGTCTAACATGAATAAAGCATCATCATTCGGGTATCACATTGCCGGTATCCTTAAGCGGATTCAAAACATACATACAGTGCAGACTGTACGGAATAGTCGAATAAACATTATACAATATTTATTCGACTATTCCATACTGAGACAGACACATTGAAAATATCATAAAAATAATATGCCTAGTGTGAAAGGCATAACGCCATCATTAAACGTAAATACCGTATGTTATGCTGGCTGTGCGTCAACATATTATGTAAGTATTATTAAATTGTTGTTTCAAAAAAGTTCATTAGTCCAGAAAAATAATTTCGCCATTTTTGGATCTTAAGCGAATTTAAACCTAAATTGTTTTGACTTGAAGAAATATATATATATATATATATATATATATATATATATATATATATATATATATATATATATATATATATATATATATATATATATATTATATAAAGATAATTACGGTTTTGTTAAGAAAGCTCGTACAGTATGATAAAAAAGCTAGTTCCTGGTATTCGTATCCAATGTACATGAGTTAATATTTAAGGATTATCATAATCATCAACGCCAATACAACCCATGATAAGTCCACAACTGAACATAGACCTACCCACAGAGAAATACCACAGAGCACGGATCTTAGCACATGCATTCATCGACATCGACTTTTACCACGTCGTCACTCCATTAAATGTGGCGTGGAGAAGAGTAAAGCGACGCTACACTTCACTTATTAGTATGAGACTACCACTCGAGGACGTTTCTTCAATATTCCCATTTCTAAGTCTATCACGCAACGAAACTGCGAGCATAGCCCTTTTCATAGCTCGCTGAGTGACCTTGAGTTTCCTCTCACACATATATGTCAGCACTGGCAACACACACTGGCTGTGCATTCCTGTTTTCAAGTTTTGAGGCATTTGAAGGTTAAGCTATATTTAACATTGTGTTGCTTTGTATTTTCCAAATGTAATAGGATTATGATTTCCTTATCAATGCATTAGAGGATTTGGTCTTGCGTTTTTCTAGAGATGAATATTTGCTTACAGTCGATTTATTGTTACACATCACAATCAGTAACACTTTTGATCACTAACCTGTCGAGAACTATACTCATGTGCCTGTGAAGGTTTGCTTTCAGATCTCGTCGTGAATACTGATGCTGTGCGGGCGGCGGAGCTGGTGGAGGTCCCCCCACCGGCGCTCTTTTGCCGATGAGCACCTTTAACTCGGCCATGAGCTTTTGCACCATACGAACACGACCTTTCTCCACCGCACACCTTATACTATTGCAGCAGAACCCTTAGTCCATTTCTACGGAGCCAAGAGCCATTGGTCAGGCCTTTGCAACGAGGTTTTACGTCACTGCTGCACGTGATTGTTGTTGAGCTATCGATATCGATACGGGCGTCTTTACAACGCGCAAGCGGGCTCTGCACTGTTCGCTCGCGTCCGACGCTTGACCTCGCCTCTTTTTATAAGTGCGCGATGAACGTGCAAGGTAGTGCGAGACAAAATAAATTTTGTAGTTATATTTAGGTGTGAACGTTATTCCAGCAAGATTCTTATGCTAAATAGAAAAGAAATCGAAAAAAAAACTTTATCCTAATTGCTTTATATTATTGAAATATTTATATAGTTAAAATAAATATTCCTGATAACGTAGAGGAAAGAATCGGTTTGCTAATTAGCATCGAAAAGAAATATAGGTCGATTGCAGAACATCACAAAGATTGCCGCAAGAAATAGGGTCATGCGAGTGTTGTTCATGTGCACAGCGTGAGGAGAGCTAAATGGGGCGCTCTATACTTCCGAACAGTCCAAAGACATAAATATGCGAATTATTTTCTTTTATTATTTTAAATACCGTGCCGTGACCGTTCTTTGTGGCGTTCCGTGGGTGAGGCCTATGTTCAGCAGTGAACTTGTGAAAGTAATGATGATTATTATTATTTTAAATTAAATGCATATTATATAATAGATCAGTATTACAATAAATAATATACTTATTAAAAAATCGCCTGTCGTGTTACATTGTGGATATAATGAAACTAATAAATGGAATTGAGGCATTCCATCTTAGTCCTCAGGGGTGACAACGCATCTGAATTTTTATTCTTAATCTAGGTTAAATATAGATGTCTATAGGCCACAGCATCCATACTGCAGCTGAGCCTTTGGAAGCTTTTCAAATGAAAACAAACGCGAGAGTTCCCGGTCTAAAATATTCGACTTTGAACGTCAATTGTGAAATAAGAAGGTTGACTAAATGATAGAAAATACTGGTAGAAATATCTGCACTCCCTGACACCGGCGATACAGGAAATGTGCACGGACGAACAAGCGGTGACTATAACTGGAGATAGAAGCGAGATAAACAAACACCTTAATTTTCGTAATTGTGTTATATGTTTATATTTTCTAACCTTCTAACCTAAAAGTAATTTATAGTAAACAAAGCTCTCCCGAATTATATTCTATTGTAATTTTTTGCGGCTTGTGATTAAATAACAAAAATTTTATTTATTTTGGCAGATTATGTAAAGATTGCATATAGTTATTATTTATTCAATATTACAAAATCTATATTTATATTCCTTATACCAACAAGGAAGGTAAATGTATTAGTTTCGTAGCAGCGCGGCGCGGCGGTGCAAACATTTAGAGCAATTAAAAAATCTGACCGATTTTCGTAATCAAATGTCTGCTGCATAGTCAACATGGTTACGTGGTTTGCGTCTCTAAGAGCAAAGAAGTGAAATATTAGCATGCAGAAACAAATGCTCGATTGTGTAATAATGATACAATGTGATTTCCATAAATTAACTTGACCATTACAAGTTTTGAATTGACTGCACCGCACCAAGCCAACGGTAACGAACTTTCTCTAGTTGGAATCAAACACAAAGCAGATCTGATCGGGATTATCGGAGCGTAATCGACAGACGTCGAGACTAATGCTTCCGACTTTAATACAATAGGTGCTTACAAACAACATACTCCACCGAATCATAGATGTTTGTTTTTGTAGAATTTAAAAGATAAGCAAAACGTTTTCACAAAGAACTAGTATCTTGAGAATTAAAAATCTAAAGTATAAAATCAGTAAAATAAAATAGTTTGCGCTTGTGCGATTCTAACGCAATAATCTAGGACAATATTATGGAGCACGTACCACATAGGATATCAACGTAAAGGAGTTAAATAATACTTTACAAGACCTAGTAACATTTCTACAAAGTATAGCGTGAGTAGAGGAGATAAAGGTACAATGGTGGTATTAGCGTGAACAAATTTTCATTCATAAATAATTTGAGTAGAGGACGCGGAAGCTTGACCTAGTTTCAGATAGTAAGTCTTCTCGATAGAGATTGATACTTACAAGTGATATTTCAGTCTGTCCTCCAGTGTTGTTGGCAAAGATTGTGATGGTTATATCGCCGATGAGCTGTGGTCACGTTCGCGGTATTTTTTGTTGTTCTAAATAGGCCGAACGTCCGCCTTTCACTGAAGTCGAATAAATACTGAGTGTGCGCGCGTCCCTATTCCCGACGTCCTTGTGTAAATGGGGCGGTTTTGTAGGGTGGCGCCATGGCAGCACGTAGTGGTAAAGCGTCAATCAATATGCGAGATGTGATCCCTTGTTAATCGGTGAACCGTCGTGCGTTAGTTATAGTATAATATATTCGTTATTAGTTTCGACTACTGATCTGACTAATGATGAAGCTGATGTATTAAGTTTATAGAATATTGAATAATAAAAATTTATTTACCAATTTGGAAAATGTAATATTTAAAATAAACTCTCAAAAATGGAACAGTCTTAAATAATACAAGGTTTTACGGATTTAATCGCATGTTCACAATCAAGCTTGTACACTCCTGGCGTTACACTTGACTGAATGGTAAAAACTGACCGATCTTCTTCGGCGGCTTGAAGTATGTTTTAATGGAAACGCGCATCAAGATGTAGCCAATCTTGTCAGTGACTCCTCTAACATATGGCAGTACAGCAGGTACACGCTCGACTGTGGCCGGCTTCACCCATAGTCTCTCCTATATAGGACATACTAAAAGATCAATTAAAACCCGCGTTAAAGAACATATAGCTGATGAGGAATCGACGCTCCGGGAAGTCTGCAGTCTGTGAACACGTACAGGATCGCCCCTGTCACTACATCAGATTTGATTGACTACAAATCCTCGCTAAAGAACACCGATTCCTTCCAAGGGTGATTCGGGAAGTTATTGACATCAAAAAAAAATCCTATTGAAATTATCAATAGAGAAGATGGCTGGGTACCATCTGCTTGGAATCCTATAATTAATAAATTTAAATCCCAACCCAAGCATACAAATGTAAGACTTCAAGATACTATAAGTTCATACTGATCTGAAGATCGGAACAAAAATTTATAATTTTAATCTATGGTAACCGCGGTTAACTATGACATCTGGACGTTGAACATCTCAGTCTTCCCCGTGACTATGGGTGCTGTAAAGTGCTCGAAACGTCGGGTATATAAAAAAGTTAATATACGCGATAAAATCCGTAAAAACTAGTATTATTTAAATGTGTAGCGTTCGCGTAAATGTAAGAAATCATAATGGAACAGTCTTTTTGCAAGTAGAAGACTGACAGGCTATAAAGACGATTATACTAATACACTAGCCATCAAAAAAAATCGGCCCACCTGCGTTTTTGCCGCAAATCACGTTTTTCTAAAGCAGAAATAATCAAAACGTTTAAGTACTGAAATGTTTTATTTAACTTGTTTATTTACACCAATTTAAACACAGTTACAAGATCAAAATGATTTTTTGAAAGTAATTTTCATTTAAAAACCAAAATCTTTAATTTTTCACGATTATTTTTATTCATTTTCAATACGTTCTAGTTTCTATGTATTGAATTTTATGTACACAATTGTTGCATTTTAATATTGCGTATTCCATCCTCTTACTCGAATGACAGCCTGCATTCGCCGTTTTAATGACCTTATCAAGATTTTGATGGTCCCTTGAGGGATTCGGTTCCATTCTTCCCTAATGGCGGTTTCAAGGTCTCCTAATGTTGTAGGGACTGTATTACGGGCTCTAACCTTTTGTTTTACATGTGCTCTATAAGGTTGAGATCAGGGCTTCTTGTTGGCTACGACATAACCCGAATGTCGACCTCTTCAAGGTAATCGGTTGTGATACGCGCTACGTGTGGTCGTGCATTATCATGCATTAATTCGAAGGTCTCTCCAATATAGCCGGCGTATGGCACCACATGGTCTTCTAAGATCTCTGTGATGTAGCGTGCTGCAGTTAAAGCAACTCTTCGTATGAAAACCAGCTCAATGCGTCCAGTCAAAGATATCCCAACCCAAAACATTACAGAGCCTCAACCATAACTGACAGTTTCTCTAATGCAACACTGGGTATAACGTTCACCTGGTCGTCGCATGACATTACGGCGTCCGTCAGAACCGTATAAAGTCATTCGACTCTCATCACTAAAAAGAACTGACTCCCATTGGCCTATAGTCCAGTTGATGTGGTTACGCGCAAATTGAAGTCTGGCTTGTCGCTGAGCTGTGGTCAATTGTGGTCTGATAAACACAAGATAGGTGCCGATTTCGTAGAGCTGGTAACAAATCATCGGTCGTCCCTTTGAGTTGTCACGGCTCAGATTTAACCTCCTGGCCACGACACGTTGACTTAAGCCTTGTTGCAGCAAAGCTACAACTTGGACCGCCTCAGCTTCAGTAGTGTCCATTATTTTTAGACAAATTAATCAAAGCTACAGCCTTAGTAATTAAACTTAACGTTATTAACGAGAAATCCCTACAAAAGTCTGTGTCGGACTGAAATAACGGTTCGAATTTGTTCTGATGTAAAACAACGAAATCAGCATTCAACAGTATTTCTGTATAAAAAATTGTAAAGTACCTTCAAGTGCAATAAGATTTACGACAAGGTGTCAAATATCATATCCGACCCTCAAAATAAAAAAAAATAAAAAATGGGTGGGTCGATTTTTTTGATGACCAGTATATGTATGATTAAATCAGCAAGACGAACAGTAAATATATATGACAAAAATATGTTTGAAGTCACTTAGTAATATTTAATAGTTTTACTTGAAACAACAATAACAAAATGGACGAGTTGTACAAACGAAAGTAAAGAGGAAACGTCGATGAAGTTACAAAAGCACAGCAAATCCCCAGGCAACAAGTTTTACGTATGCACATCAGTGCAGAG